ATATATATATATATATTAGTTAAGCATGAAAACTCAAGTGAGCATTAAAAAATTAGTGTAGTGAATGTTTTGTGCATTATATATTTGTATTATTATTAAATATTATAGAGTATGTAACTAAATAAGGTTATAGTATTCTATTATATTGAAAATATTACAAAAACGTGTTATAAATAATTGTATTATTAACGTTAAATAATAATCTATAACATGTAATATAATTAAACACTTATTATTTTTGTATGTATATAAATTAAATTTTTTCAAGAATAACTTTTTTTTTTAGGGTAATTTATAATTATTTTATGTAATATTTTGATTATTAATTTTTATTTAAATATCATTGGAATATCTGGTTAATACATATTAATTTTTATATGATTTTATTTTTTTCATTCATTAAAATAGAAATTTGTAGAATTATTTTTTCATTTTTTTTTTTCTTTTAATTTATGCACCATTACAATATATTCTGAATAATAAAATATTACTCAGGATGATACCCTACAAAATGTTCTTTTCCATTCATATAATTTGGGTTACATGATTCTGATGAATAATCAAATAACCTATTTTTGCTTTTATATACGTCACTTATATTTTTTTTCTGTCCAAATATTTTGCGCAAGCGTATTCCTATGGGTGTAAACTTGTACATAAAAAGAAAAAAATCACAGTTCGATTGATTAATTATTGTTTTTTTAAAGGTGGGAACTATTAAAATAAAAGTAATTCTAATTTGTATTAATACAAAATATATTTACTTTATACAAAATGGAAGAAAGTATTGTAAATAAAATTAATCCAAGAAACATTTTTCCCAAAATGCTTATAATGCTAGATCTGTCAGGATTTATAAATAAATCAGCAAGTTGTTCTGCTTCATACACTGTTAATAGGGAATCATTTACAGGAGAAAGTTCAAACAATGATATAGAATGACCATCAGGTGTTTTTACATCTATTGCACCAGACTGATCTTTTGATGAAGGTTCACTTTCTGTACTTGTATTATCGGGAAATGTATCTTGACTTCGCACAGCAGAATTCCCAGGAATTATTTTTTTCTGTTCAATATAATACTTAATCTTAGTTATCGCTACGGATGGATCAGAATCCTTGCATTCATCAAAAAATTCTGGACATTCATGTTTATTTTCGTTACTACAATACGTTTTAAATTCCTCATATAATTTAACTTTTCTTGTAAAATACTGATAAATGATATCTCGCATATCTTTATAATACTCAGCACTACTGAGAAGTGTTTTATAATCGATGCAGTAATCATATAACTCTTTCCTTTTTATCGAGTTACGTTGATATATAATTTCAAATTTTGGACTACATTTATTGTAAGATGAACTATGTACAGAATCTTCAACAAGTGAATTCCATAACATTTGAAGATTAGCAAACATAGTAGTAATAGGAGCAGATTTCCTATTATATATCCATGATAACCTACTGTATGTCCAATAATTCAAAAGTTCGCAGTTATTGTAGTAACTTTTTGGTTCAATAATTATTGTATTTTCAGTACTTAGATACCATAGGACTACTGAACAAAGATTTATATACAAATCACTTCTATATTTAGTCTTGTATAATTCGCATTTATCATGATACACTTTTAACTCATTTTGTTTAAGTTTCCTATTGTCATTATAATAATTAAGAAGATGACGATCCAAATTTTTGTAAAATTTTGCTGATGGTAATCCTAGTTTATCATTTTCTAAATATGCCTAAATGAAATTAAAAATATATGGCTGCTTAAATATAGATATCATGGAATTTATTATATTATAAATAATAACATACATTATTAAAAAATATATGGAATTATTATAACAGTCCATGAAGTATAAATATTACTTTTATTATATTTTGTATATTTTTTCTTCCCATAATGAAGAATATATCAAATTATTATGTTTTTATAAAGCTTAAAAATTTATATATATAATACTTCAAGGAATTTATAGTTACATTATGCATAACAAATATGATTAACACTTACTAAAATATGGAATATATTTTTTTACGTATAATACCTGTATAAACGATATAAGTTGCATTATATATATAAAGGATTAAAAAAGAAAAATTAAAATGAAAAAAAAAATGATTTTATATATTAGAATTTGTCATTATATTAACTTAGAAGTACCTATATCACATTATATATATACTAATGAAATAATAAAATAAGTAAATTAGTGCAATGTACTACTTAAATAGGGTTTAGTTTTAGGTTTAGTGTTCAGGGTTCAGTATTCATTGTTGATGTTTTACATTTCTGGGTTCAATGTTTAGTCTTTTGTGTTTAGGGTTAATGGTTAATGTTTTTTGTTTTGGATTTTATTGTGTCATGGTTTTTGTTTAGTTTAAGATTTTTAGTTTTTTTATTTTTTTTTATAGGTTTTTATTTATTTTTTTTTTTGTGTAAGCGCTTTTTGTTTTACTTTTCGCTTTTTTATGTTTTAGCTTTTAGGGTTTATGGTATGGAATCCTGCTGTTCTGTTTTTGTTGTGTGGTTTTTTTTTGTTAGGTTTTTGTGATTAGGTTATTGGTTATATGTTACAATTATTTTTATTTTTTTATTTGGTTTATTTTGTGTATTTTTTTAGTTTATAATGCATGAGATATTGTATACTTTACAATATTATTAATTTAATTTATATGTATAAGTTCTATATTTATAATTTATAGATATAGTTTTAGTCAGTATTTGTATTTTTGTGGTTGCGTAACACATTATAAATGCTTATCGTAAATGTTATTATACACATTTTTACAGATTAATAACACATCGTGGGTGAACGGAATACATTTATGCCTAACATTGAATTAATCAAAACAGAGATAATATGATAATCATTTATATATTATTCTTTTTTGACATATATATCATACGGCATATTCATTTTATTTTAAACTTATAATTATTTATTGGAATGATTATGACCACTTAAAATTCATCAATTTGTGAATAAAGAAAATTGTTTTATATTATTTCATTAATTTTTAGAAATTATAATGTTTTCTAAATGTCTTACATAAATTATGTTTTATGTCCAATATATTGAGAAAAATTATATTTGATCGTTATGTCATAAAAATATATTTGTTTGTAGTATAATATTAGTATAATATTTTATGTTTTTAATTATATTTGGAAAGTAATAATTAATTAATAATCATCATCTCTATGTAGATATAAATTACATTATATATATTCTGAATTTCTCTTAAGCATAAAGCTTGATATTTCCTTGTAATAATAAAATGAAGTACATAAGCTTATTAATGGATTAATGTTTTGAATAAGGAATTGTTTTAAATCATGTATGATTTATTTTATATTTTTTAAATTTCATTTTGAATGAATAAATTTTTTTTTTATAAATTATATAATAATATACATTATTTTATATGAATTATAATTTTCATATAATGTATGATCAATTGTAATATAGAATTTTTTTTTACGAGAATTAACGTGCGTTTTATATTTCAGTGCATTAATTGTAGGAAAATCATATTTTTATTATACAAGAATATTATAATTATTGCTAAATTACTTTATAAAAACAAGCGTAATTTATTGCGTACTTTTATTTATTTTTTTTTATTACTTGAATTATATATATACTTATCCAATTTTACATCCTTTAAAAAATTATATTAAAGGAAAACCACATAAATTTTTAATAATACAATATAAAAATATTACACAAGTAAATTTCGAAATTTTTGTACGTTATAATTAAATAGGTTATGATATAATGTAATGTCAAAAAATATAATATAATTAGACAAACTACATGTATTATACAACATATAGAAAAAGTATGAGTAATGGCTAATTAAGAAAATACTTAAGAACTCGTTACTAAATTAGCGTACATTACTGTAGTAAAATAAATTATACTTATATTACGATAAGAAAAAAATATTCAATACAAAATGTTTCATGTATATTTTTATTAATGCAATTATGTATAAAACTTATATAAATTATATAAAATATGTTCCTCCAATATTTTAAATTATATAGCATAATATCATATGTAAACATGATTAAAACATTCACTAATTCTTATGGGTAAAAATTTACAAAATTCGGCTCATTATGCATTGGTTATAGAAAATCCTATTCCTGAAATATGTATAAT